TCGTTCTTATTTTTAATCTCCCTCCCATGTTCTATCATGGATATCTTGGGTAAACCTTGTTAGGCCAGAAGTTAGCAGTTAGGAGCATCTCTCATCACTGTAGCTTAGTATTTCCTGTTTCCTTGCTGTCAGACTCAATCTCCTTATCTTGTGTTAGAATGAAATTCATATGTAATAATGCTGTATCTACCCAAAATTGTTGCAGCTGGACAGGTTGGCATAAGTCTGTATTCATAGCACTGTGGCTCATGATTTCAAGACGAGTAGATTGACTTGGATCCACCTCATACCCCCAGAAATATATATCCTACCCTCTACTACCTCTGAATATTTTTGGAGATTGACCCTTAAAGAGATCATTCAGATAAAATGAGACCATTAATATTGACTTTAATCCAATGAAACAGGTGTCCTTATTTAAAATTGAAACTGTGGATGCAGACATGCACAATGAGATGCTGTAGATGGTATATGGTAGAACATCATCATCGAGCTGGGGAGCCAGGCCTGGAGAGAAAACAACCCCACTGACACCTTGAGGTTCTACAATCATAACAAACTAGTCGTTTTTTTCAAGATACTGGATGAAGATACTATACTTCATTATAGCATACCTACCAAATGAGGACACTAATGATCTATAATTATTTTATTGTAATATAAACATGAAATGTCATTTACAATAAAACTCACACTTTATATGAAAATGCCAAAGTGCAGCTATATTTAGTACCCTGGATGCAAAAGCTACAAACCATGCTTAAGTTACAGTCTGACTACAGCCTGGCATGGTGGGCTGAATTGGCAAGACAAACACAAAACCTTGAGCAGTGTTAGTTCTGGCACATGGTTTTCCTGGAAGAGTGAACAACTCTTGGCAAAGTCCCAAGCCAAACAAATTTACAAAGAAATTGCATTCTTGGAAAATTCAAAAGCATGGCCTACATCATGAGTCCTCTCTACTACAACTCCCAGAATCCTCCTTGTCTCCTAGTCCTGCCTATCTTGCCTTCCTATTTGCCAACAGTGCTTTATTCGTTAACCAATAATAGAAACATGTTTACAGAATGACATCTCCCATCATTTCCTCCTATAATTCTGCCCAATGGGAAGCTGTCTTGCATCTCCGGCTCACTTCTCTCAGTTCATTAGGGTGCCATGTAGTCATAACACCCCAAACATCTTATTTCTAAAGTATTCCCTAATGGGGGAATCTAATCTTGTTCTCCTCATGAAGATTCAAGAAGAAAGATTGTATTGCTTATGACCTTGTGTGTTTGGCCAGTCACATTGGGAAGGTTGAGAACCACTATGCTAGGCAAATACTCCACCACTGACTTATATCCCAGGCCTTAAAAATGTATTATTTATTTATTTATTGCGTGCATATATGACAGGGGCCATGGTGGGTGTGCCGGGTGCACATATAGAGGTCACAGGACAACTTTGTAGAACTGGTTTTCTACTTCCTCCTCTGAGCATTGAGTTTAGGTCATTAGGCATGGACATCAAGTGCTTTTACCTGGTGAGTCATCTTCCAACCCTTCTCCCACCTTAAATAAAAATAAAATAAGAAGCTTTTTTTTTTTTTTTTGAGACAGAGTCTTGATAAATTGTTCAGGCTAGTCATGAGCTCTTAGCTTTTCTACCTTAGCCCTGCCCCCATAGCTGGGATCACACTGGGCCAAGTTAGCATTTTCTTTTGAAGTTTTTCTTTATTGTATAGTATGATTATTGTTAGTTACTTTTATGTTGCTGTGACAAAACATCATGACCAAGGCAACTTAGAAAGCATTTAAGGGCTGGAGAGATGACTCATCTGTTAAAAGCACCAGCTCCTTTTCCAGAGGCCCTGAGTTCAATTCCCAGCAACCCCATGGTGGCTCACAACCATTTGTAATGCCATGTGGTGCCCTCTTCTGGCCTGCAGAGATATAGGCAGGCAGAACACTGCATACATAATAAATAAATAAATAAATCTTTTTAAAAAGAAAGAAGGAACGCATTTAATTGGGCTTATAGTTCTGAGTGTAGAGTCCACAATGGCAGAGCAAAGGAATTGTGGCAGAAGCCGCTGAGAACTCACACCTTATCCACAAGCATGAGGCAGAGGGAGCAGTATCTGGGAATGGTGTGGGCTTTTGAAACCTTAAGCCATACTGCAGCAACCCTCCTTCTCCAACACAGACACACTTCCTAACCCTTCCTGGTTACCAATTGGGGACCAAGTCTTCAAATGCCCAAGACTTAAAGAAGGGCATTTCATTCAAGCCTCCCCATTGTCATCATCATCATCACCACCATTGATGGCGGTTATGTTTGGGTATGAATCCTTACAGGGGTTAGACAATTGCTCTACTACCAACTATATCCATGGCCCTCTGTACTTTGAAGCCAGATCTTGAACCAATGTATCTTAGTCCGGTCTTGAAATAATGAGCCATAGTGCTATGAGTACAGACTTATGGCAGCCTGTCCAGCTGACTGTCCATTTTCTAAGCTAGTGGTCTTGACACTGCCACTGAATCCTTTGTGCAAAAGGCGTCTCCTTCGGCTTGAACTCAGAATGGGTGGAGTCTGGTAGCTGTGTGTTGTGTATTTTGTCTGTGTCTGCAGAATCCTGTGACGCTTGTGTCAATGCCAGAGAATCTCCTGACCAATTCTCCCATTCTTTCTTCTGCTTCTGTACTAAGTGACGGGACGTTCGTTGTCACAGAGATTCTGTGTCATCTAAGATAGAGCCCCAACAGTACCCTCTCTCCTTATTCCATCCTGCCTGCCTCCAAGCTCTGTCCACACAGTATCCATCCTCCATCCTTCCCATGCTTATCAGGCACCCATGTATCAGTTTATGTGGCCTGACCCTTCTTCAAAGGAACATTCCCGTTGACTGTGGAGCTCATTATTTCAACACTTCCTCCTCCGGCTTTCCCCTGAAAAATGCCTGTGTGAGGCAGAAACTTTTTGTTTCATCAACAGTTACCAGTCATTCACCAATGGCACATTCAGAGAGTCTTTACTAACTAACTTTGTTGTGTGGACACCATAGAGTTCATTTACACAAACTAAAATTGCTAGCATGTCTCTAGGCAATAAAATTGCATGGGACTCCATGTACCCCCTGTATATGTGGTCCATCATTCATCAAAACGTTGTTTTATGGTGCCTGTCTGTAGTAGAAACCAACCTGGGGGCTGAGGATGCAACTCAGTTGCTGGAGTGCTTGCCTGGGTTTCAGGAGACTCTGTGTTCAATCTCCAGCATGAGATACACGGTCCATAGCAGTGCATACCTATAATCGCAGCACTGGGTATATGGAGACAGGAATATCAGAAGGTCAAAGATACTCTGGTCAAAGCCCGCTGAGGCCAATCTCAGGAATAAAATAAAATAACTCGAAGGCACATTCAGAAAGGGGCATTTGTGTTCAAGTAACAGAGATCTCAAGGAACTTTAGGAAGGAATTGACAGGGCACAGCAAAGAACTCAGACAAAAATCACAGTCACCAACACTTGTCAAACCCTTGTTTGTCACTCCCCTCTTGCTCATTGACCTCGTTTATGTTAAGTGCTTCCCTTTTGCCTTCTTGTGCACGTGATGGAATTGCAGTTCTATGGGCGAGAAACACCCCTGTCCTAACTAAATCCGTTCCAATCTCTGGCTGAGTCTGTGACATGCTGGTGCTCAGGACCAGCTTTAATTCCCTTCTTTAGACAGACAGACAGACAGACACACACACACACACACACACACACACACACAGAGAGAGAGAGAGAGAGAGAGAGAGAGAGAGAGAGAGAGAGAGAGATACGGGCTCTAGCTGTAGACATGAGATATGAAGGCCAGTGGTCCCTAAGAAGGAACCATGTGAAGCAAGCCTGGTGAGGACCCGCCCTCCTCTGGAGAGCATGGCTACCAAGCAAGGAGGGAGTTCAGGCAGAGGGACGGATCCTTAGAGTTCTACAGATCTGGAGATAGTGGGGTGCCCACCAGTGGTAAGCTTTGCAATTCACAAGGTGGGGGGTAGAATTTTCAGAAGGTAGTGGACTCAATAGGGACAAATTCAGTTCTCAAGTCCATTCTGGTCCTGCCTAATAAAGCTTGAAAACAAAATGGAAAGAATCAAACTGTCTCCAGGTTACTCCATTCCAGGGCAGAGCTCAGGAATTTTTATAAGAACACAAAAATACCCAGCACAGGTCCTGCGCACGGCCGGCCTCCCGCGATGAGTGAGAGCAGCCAGCCGCCTGGGTTGCTCTCCGTGTTCCAATCAAGCCCCTGGCCCAGGGGGGGAAAATGGAGAAAGTGACAAGGAACAATGTTCTGTGTGCTGGTCTCCTATTAAGGCTATTGTTATTTTTGCCCTTATACCCGTCAGTATTGTTGTATTGTTTGACTTGCTATAACAAGTACACATCGCTACTGTTATTTTCAAAAGATTGAACAGATCACACAGGAAAATGAGATTCATAGGCAAAAGTACTTCTACACTTCAGAAGTGAGTGAAAAGTCTTTTTCCCCGACTCCTTCCCTTTGTCTCCCTTTCTAGAAGGTTCTCCCTTTCTTTGCTGCCATCTCTTTCCTTTCCTCCCTTTTCCATGTAGTTTAGGTCAATGTGATGGTGCTCCTGTATGTTTTAAAACCCCTACAGTTAAGGTTTTTTGTTTTTGTTTTGTTGTTGTTTTGTTTGTTTGTTTATTTGTTGAGAGAGAGAGAGAGAGAGAGAGAGAGAGAGAGAGAGAGACTGCTGTTACTCTGCTTTGACCACCCCATGCCCTCACTGAAGCTAGCCTCAGGCCTTTTTATTCAGCCTTCTCCGGGGACCGGATCAGTGGTCAAGGCAGGTGAAGTCTCTATGAGCCAGGCTCTATTTGTCATGTCACTGGGCGAAGATGGCACTTTGGCTGCACCTGTGTAGACTATACCAAGTTCACCCCTGCTGTTCCCCGCTAAGGGATCCTTCTCGTGTGGAGTGAAGGCTACTACAGGCTGTGATGAAATGAATGAAAGTGGAGGGAGAAGCAGAGGGCCGGGCCACGCAGAGAAAGGGACCACTCAGCGACGAGCCCCAGCTGTGAGAGCTGAGCGCTCCAGCTCTGCGTGGACAGCGGGAGCAGAGCCGAGGGGAGCGGAGGCTGAGCGCCCTGCGCTGGACCCCAGATCACAGGAGTCGCCGGGCTTGGGACGCACGGTCCGAGCGCACACCGCACGCACCTCGGAGGTCCTGCGCACGGCCGGCCACCCGCGATGAGTGAGAGCAGCCGCCTGTGCTCGGGCTACTACAGCCTCAACCGCAGCTTCGTGGAGCCCTTCCAGTGCCCGCGGCGCGGCGACGGGGCCGCGCTGCTCTACTGCTGCGGCTTCGCAGACCTCAAGTACTGCTGCAGCGAGCCGGGCAGCTACTTCCCCTACAAGCACAGTTACATGTGGAGCCTCAGGTGGGCAGGGCAGGCAGGGCGGGGCGGGGCGGGGCAGGGCAAGGCTTGGAAGTCAGGGTAGGGGCAGGATGGGGCAGGAAAAGGCAAGCTCTCCCAGACCTGGGAAAGTGACCAGTGGAAGACACAAAACCCAAAACCGGAATCAGGGAGGTCTCCCAGTGGCCGCTATATTCAGGTCCTTGTGCCAAGGTGCCAGGCTTCTGAATGGTACCTGGAGACCAGTGGGAGCTCTGTGCATCCCAGCCCACCTCGCCAGGAGCTGGAAGCTCTACTGACAAGACTGGAGGCTTTAATTCCTCTTTAGGTGTTTGGGTTTTGTTTGTTTGTCCATTTGAATGGGGCTTCTTTGGAAAATGAGTTAAGGTGGTAAGGACCATAGGAGTACTTACGTGTCACTGGACAGCTGGAATCCTTAAAGTAAGTGTGTGTGTGTGTGTGTGTGTGTGTGTGTGTTTGCAAAGGTGTATGTGTACAAATGGACTTTACAACCCACTCACACTCTTCTTGGAGCTTCGGACACTGCCACTGCCCCATCAGGCTGAAGATGGAAGAAAGCTTGTTGCTCTACTTACTCACACAGCGCGACCTTTCTGGACCTTTCCCTACACCCTCACAGTTTAACCATTGCTAGATGTCAAGAGGCTTTGCTTTCAAAGCCACATCTTTCTTGCTTCTTCTTTCTACAGTGGGGGTTTCCCTGTTTCTCTTAGTCTTATGCAGGTGCTTGCATGATGAAATGCCCCCCTCAAAAACAGCACGCTTTGAAACTTTAAAATTGATTCTTTTCTTTTGTCTACAGAATGAGCAGAATCCTGAGATTATAGGACAAAATTTCCACTATCACCACCACAAATTGTGTGTGTGTGTGTTTGTGTGTTTGTGTGTGTGTGTGTGTGTGTGTGTGAGAGAGAGAGAGAGAGAGAGAGAGAGAGAGAGAGAGAGAACTAGCTTAGCTAGTGGGAGTACAGTAGAATACAATGCTATTGTCCTACTCTCTCATCATATTCAGAACTTGGCACACATGCCAGATCAACAGCAAACTTACTGCTCAAGGCATAAAAACAAATACTATTTTTTTCTGTATTACAAACTTGAGTAAACTCTCAAGAGGCCTGCCTGCCTTCTGGGAAGTCAACTGACCAAATTGTTGAGTAGGACAAACTTGGCAGAAAATGATGCCAAATTATTCTCTATAGATATTTGGGGGAATAAAGTGATGTACTGACTGCCCTGTCGTTTTGGGCTTTTAGAGACTAGCTTGGTAGTCCATCTGTGAGTGTCTGAATAGCAGACACACCTCTAACAGAGAGTGGCAATGTCCAAGTCAAACTCCATTGGAAATGGTGCCCAGGATCTTCAGGTCCCCCATGGTGACAAACAGAACAGGCCATCCACCCTTCCTGAGGTTTGAGAGAGCGCAAAGGAGGGAACAACCTGCTGGTGTCTACCTTCATCAGAGAGCTGGGTGTCAGGGAAAGAGAAAATCGCGGTAACTAAGGGCATCAGTTGGCAACATTGAAGCAGGGGGCCCTGTGAATTACTGAGCTCTGAAAACACTGCAGGGAGGTAAATTCATTAGAGCTTCATTTCTCTTCCATTCTTTGCTCTTCACTGCTAATTTAAAATGCTCCAACCGCGAAAAATATTACAGAAGTCACCAGCTTTGGAACTGAGATTCCACAGCTACCCGAGAAAGACAGCCATAGCTACTTTGAGGCCAGGGGAGTTGCTAAGTAGGAGGATGGCTGCATGGCTGTGATAGCAGCTTTAGACGCTTTCCAATGGCTGGAAAAGCGACTGCATTGGGTTACCAGGGGGATGGGTGACCCCCCCCCTTCCCAGTGTCAGTTCCTTCCTTCCTCTTCTAAACCCCTAAAGTCAAAGGGTCTCCTTTAGTAACCTTTTCCAGGACTTCAGAAAAGAACCCTAATGTGTCAGGGCCATTCATGGATGGATGCTGAATGAGCATTTGTGGATGAGACTCCTGGATCCCCACCTTTACATGGAGATCTGCAGGCACATAAGGAACAGCATCACCATGCTGTTTAGGTTTCCTTCAGAATGAATAGTCTTTTTAAAACCTTGCACACTGAACATGAGTTCATGATGAATATACTGAATTTCATTAGACTGACAAATTATAATTTACAAAATAACTTTTTAGTTCGGAAATTATTTTTCAAAAGCTGGGTTCTCCTTTCAAGAATCTGTCCAGATGCCCCACCTATCTGATTTGTGCACAAAATAATTCTAAGTGGATTCCATCCTTGAGTGTCTATGTATAGGCAAGTGAACCAAAACCTCCCTGGTACAGTTCACAGAAGGCAAGGTACAAGGGTTTCTTTTCTCATTCTACTAGAAGAAAGGGCAATCAGCATGGCAACCTCCAAGTTCAAATACATAATTCTGTTTGGACTCTGACATAAAATTACCTACTCATCACTACATGCAATGCTGGGACAAGCTCAATGTTAATAAACCAAGTAGAAGAATTTGGAGCTTTGACTCCATGTTGCCTATAGTTCAGGAGGATATAATCTCATTTGTGCCAGGGTGTTTTATCTCCTCAAATAAAGAGTGGGATGGATAAACAGCCTGTCACCTTCAATACTGTCCTTTCTCTCAAAGCGGTGATGCTCCTGGTGTACCTGATCTAATTTTCCCTCTCCTTTCTTTTGGAAAAAGTCAAGCTTGCCAGGGGCCTAATCTCTGAGAGAAAGCAGAAGCCAGAAGAAAAGCCAAGAAGATAATGAAAACTAAGATCATTATTTTTCAGTGATGGGAATTGTAAATTGCTACATGTAGATCAATCATGAGTTAATTAGTGTTTACTCTCATCTGTTGAGTATGTTCTACAAGCTAAACATATATAAATACTTACAGTCTTCACAACACTATGGGAAAACCGACTGAAGTCAGCTGTTAAATAACCTAACATCTAATTGTAGCTGTTTCCCCATGACGCAAGAGACATGCATCTGCATACAGCTCATTCACCATGACACTGACTTTTCAAGTCCCCTCTTTTTTGATGGTACCAAGTGTTCAGGCTTTATGAAAACTGCTGGTTCAGTATCTGGCATATGTATAACCACATAAATGAATAACTCCAAATGTGGCGCAGGGGAAATCTCAGGCTTTGAAAGTAAATGTCATATACATTCTGTAAACAGCTTTCTTTCAACTAACCCTTCTTCTCTTTTGCAATGGTCGTGGTTTTATACATTAACACATGGCGCCTTTCATATATATCTCTAAGGAAAAAGTTTTTTTTTTTTTTTTTAAATCTCTGATAAATGTGTTTTCTGACTCGTACTGAATCAAGTATTTCCTGTTTACCTTTCCTTTGTGAGACTGATCTTTCTAAAGCTTGGTATTAATTTGATTCACTTGATTTATTGGACTGGGATATTTATGATGCTCCTAGAGAATTGTGTGACCGCTGACCTTTCTCACAGACACCATACTGATGGTAGCATACAAAATTTAAAAGTCCTTAAATGGAATAGGCAGAATATGACAAGAATTCATATTGAATTCTTGAATTGAAACTTTCAATCAATTACCCCTTGTAGTAAAGCAGAATTTGGCTATGAATGGATGAGAACAAGAATGAGCGTTGAAGCTTTTGGTGTGGCTTGAGTGCACAGCAGTTTGGATGACACACTCTTTGTCTCCTCAGCATTGGTGCTCTGATTGGATTGGCAATCGCTGCCCTTGTTTTACTTGCCTTTGTCATCAGCGTCTGTGTCCTTTGCTACCTATTTCTGTACACAAAACCTCAAAGATTGGACAATGGCCTTAAACTTCAGCACCTGGAGGCATCTTCTACCCTACAAGGTAACCCGAATCCATTCTTTGTAATCAATTACTTGTGCCATATCTTATCTGGGTGACAGAGCACACTGTTAAGAACATGTTCTTTAAAGATTCTGTTTACAATGTAGCCTTACAATGTATCCTCACTCTGTCTTAAGTGATTAAGGGAAATTGTGTTCAAAGCAAACTAGCAGACTATAAATGCCGTTATGGGGAGCAAGTCAATAGGCCAGCATTTTCACTTTGATATATTTAATTCCTTTTTAGTTATCAACACTCATCCTCCTGAAAAAAAATTACATTTTGGTTTTCTGGCAGAACCAAGCATGTGAGTGCATAAGACAACGAAATGCCCAGTAAGACACTCTTGGTACTGTGCATTACACTGGTCAGTCAATGGTCAGACTGGCACCTGGTGTGAGGAATCAAGGGGGCATCTGAGACAATTCAGAGGTTTGCAAAAATCCTGAAAAGCAAATAGAATTTTTTTTTTTGGGAAAACATTTAATTTGGGGCCCATGGTTCCAGAGGATCAGAGTCATTGGCCATCATGCAAGGAACATTGAGCAGGCAGCCAGGAGGGGTAGCTGGGAGTTCACATCTGATTCCTGAGCAGGAGGCAGAGACAAACAGAATATTCTTTGCTGTTGAATAACCTACGAACTAATTATTTCTACTAGCGTATGTATATGTGTACAATGTGTACAAAGCAGAAAGAAACTTTTATGCATAAATTGCATACTCTGTGTCTCCTTACAGATTCAGTTATAAAACAGTATATAGATGTCAGTTGTTACCATTATGAAACTATCAAAATTTTGTGAAAACTGGTTTCTCTTAGTGTATTAGGAAGTGCCAATCATGAATTTTGACATGTGTGTGTATACAGAATATATTTTAAAGACTATATAGGTAACAATGCATAAGTTTAGGATCGATGTTGACGTATTTAGAATGGCATGTGAGTGTTTACTATTTCCATTTAAAAAGAAAAGGGAAATCTTTCTTGAATTATGAAGGAATTCATAGGCTGCATTTTAGTTGCATGATGGGATCTGTCATGTTTATGAAGTACCTAACTTATGTCCTTATCAAATATGTCACCATCACTGTGCACCTGCATTAATTGTAGTCTCCTCTGGGGAGAAGAATCTCTCCAGCCCTTGTGTCCTTTAGTCACAATACAGCAGGATAGATTCCTCTGGAATTCTCTTCCCAAAGAGTTGATAATGAGGAGCCAAACTGAAAGACTGGGAGCTGACTTTAATCATCATCAGACTGTAAAAGTAATTATCATCTCATATGCTTAGATGATTGAAAATCATGTCTCTAAATCTTTGCTATACCCAAGAATCATCTGTGTGGTGTGTGTGTGGGGGGGTGCATCTTAAAAACATAGCTTCTCAGCCCCAGCTTCTCAAACAAATACCTCTTCTTCCCACTCTTCCTTGTTCTCCTACTTTCCATAGAGCAGTCATGGTGACACTGTTAAAATCTAAGTCACAGGGGCTAGGGAGATGGCTCAGTGGTTAAAAGCATTGACTACTCTTCCAAAGGACCTGGGTTCAATTCCTAGCATGACATGGCAGCTCACAGATGTCTGTAATTCCAGCTCAATGGGGTCTGACACCCTCATACAGACACACATGCAGGCAAAACACCAATGCACATGAAATAAAAATAAGTAAATATTGTTTTTTTTTTAAAGTCCTTAGTTCAAGGAGGCCTTCAGGTCAAGATCCTCCTGCCTCAGCCTTCTGAGCGATAAAATTGCAGGTATGTAACAGCACATCCCACTGAATTCAAAATACATTAGAATGTATTCTTTTTTTTTTAATGAATTCAAAATGAAGAAAATACATAAAATGGAGGGAAGGTAGACTATGCTAGTCAAATAATGGAAGCCTGGATTCCTTTTCTTTTTGAACAGGGTTTCATGTCAGGCTGGCCTCAAACTAACTACATTATCAAAGATGACTCTTAGTCTCCTGACCCTTCTGGCTCCAACTTCCAAGTTCTGGGATGACAGGCATGTACCACCATACCTGGCTTATAGTTCTTTTAAAAAAATTATGTTACCTTACAGATTAAAAAAAAATTATAAGTGTTTTTAAATGGCTGAGTAGGTAAAGGCATTCGTCCCCAAGCCTGATGGCCTAAGCTTGATTCCCTGAACCCATGTGGTTGAAGGAGGATTAATTCCTACAGTTGTCCTTTGATCTCTACGTAGACAGGTGCCACAGTGTGTGTGTGGACCTGTGCCTATGCACATGTGCGAACGCACACACTCACACTCACACATACATACACACACACACACACAGTCACAGTCTCACACTCACACACTCTTACACATACACACTCACACACACACACACACAGTCACAGTCTCACACTCACACACTTTTACACATACACACTCACACACACACACATACACACACACACAAAACAACAATAACTAAGCCACCCCTCAAACCCTAATTTTCCCCAGCCCTCTCAACGGATACAGCTCTCCACTGTGACCTTTTATGGGCGGCCCTCTATGTCTTTTTGCTTTTAATCTGCTTGGCCAAACCACATTGGACCCTTTGCCACATCTTGAGAGTCTTGATCAGGGCCTTTGCACATGCCACCACCATTTCCTCAGACATCAGCGTGACTTACAGTTCTTTCTGTAACTTTCCTGAGATGTCCCTTTTCCCAGGAGTCCCTCCTCACCTGCATTCTTAACTTCCCTTCTGCTCTTCCTAGTCAGGCCCTGTCCCAAACATTCAAGAAATGTTTGGGTATGATAAGCACTGGGGATGTCACAGTGAGAAAACAAAACAAAAAAAACCTTACTTTGTGAAAAATGTATAGATAACAAATAGACAAGTAAATGGATAATCGTGAAGTCGAATGTATCTTGTGAAACCCTGACCAGGTATGTTCATTGCTGCAGTCATTAAACATGTATCAAGTGTGTCTTCTATGTAATGCCCTGTGCCAAATAAAGAGTGGTTAGTTTTTCCTGGTTTAGCTCGAGGACTATTGCAAAATTTTATTCCATGTTTGCTCTGTGAAGCCAGAAGCAGAATTACTTACGGGGTGTTGTCAGTTCAGATTTGACACGTTTCTTGCTATTTAGTGGACGAAGTCTGTTTAATGTACTTCTTATGAAATTAGATAAGACTGCTTTCTGGCAGTGAAATATCCCCCACGTTGTTCCTCACAAAAATGTTTGTTTCAAGGTAGCAAGTTAATTTAATAGACCTTCCCCGAGTCTGGCTATTAGAAAGCAACATACAAAATTTAAAGTAACCAGTGCCTTGCTGTTGTTTTCAAAGGACTTGATTTTGGTCACTGGGTTGATTTTTTTTTTTAAATCATAGTGCAGAGCACAAAACAAAATAGGTAATCCATATGCTGTTGCAATAGAAAAATGAGTTCCTCTTGAATGGACCTTTTGAAATGATAATTAAACACTGTGCGCTGTATTATATGAGCATCCCACTCCAGTGTTCCCTCCACCTAGCAAGAGATGCCCTTGTTTAAGGTATGGGGAAGACAAGTTAGAGATATCATTGCTTTTAAGGAACATGTTAAAGAGTGGAAACATAAGGACATGTTTGCATAATTAATCAGAATTGATTTCACAGCCTTTTTTTTCAACACTATCTGTTTCAAAAGAAATGTATCACAAACTATTTTAGACTAATTTCTTAAAATTTCCTTTTATTTTCTGAAATTCTAATTACATCATTTCCCCCTTCCCTGCTTCTGCTTCAAAACCCTCCCATGTACCCCTCCATGCTCCTTTTGAAATTCATGCCCTCTTTTTCATTAATTGTTTGCATATGCGTGCGTGTGAGCTCAAGCAAACACACACACACACACACACACTCCTAAACACATGAGTATAACCTACTCAGTCTGTATAGTGTTACATTAAATATTTTTCATGTTTATAGGGCTGAACACTTGGCATTAGATAATCAATTGGTATGCTTTTCCTTAGTGAAGAGTAATTAGATTAATTTTTATGATGTAGACTGTTTTCATTATAGGCAATGGACAGATTAGGAGGAACTAATACATATTGCAATGGATATCAGGTCCTTAATCTTTTTTTTTTCCTATTAATGACAATGGTGTAGATCTAAAATAGGTTAATCATAGATTATACTGCCAGGGTTTTTCCTCAGCCTATTTTCATTCCATGGTCTTTTGATTTTAAATGCACACAGGTTAAGGTTTTATAATCTTTGAACTGATCTTGAAAAGGAAGTTAAGTCCTTTCTGGCCATGGCAGCAGACATAGTGGTATCACCTCTGTTGTCCACACTTGGCAAAGTACCCCTTGCTGAGCAATTGCTGGGCTTTTGGATCGCACCCTGCAACTGTCTTCTTTTAAACCTTTACATTTTGGGTTATACACATTTCAGGTGCCAATATTCTGAAAAATACTGTGCCTTGTATTTTTTTGCCAAGCCAAAAAAAAAAAAAATGCGTATATGAAGATAGTCCTAAGCATGAGGGCTCATCTCAAGGCTCTGGGAGAATATTCATGGCCAATGACGGAGTAGTCAGAGGGACGATGACATAGATGGCTGCTTCACAAATGGTTCTCTAGTGAAGTTCTTACAGCCATATCAGCAATGAAGTCAATGCCCCAGAGTCCTCAGCGCTGGAGCGGGAAAGGCCTGCCTTGAACCCTCCTGAGCTTCAGCATTTAATTGTTTCTCACTTTGCTTTACAATTTATGGGGATTTTCAGCCGACTGCATGGTGTAAAGCTTGCTCTCATCTAACATGACATGTGTCACCCACATCTAAGTAAAACTGCTGCTTCGGGAAGATGAAGTCTACCCCGAGGCTTCGAGTAGATTTGAGGAGGTCCTGTGGACGTGACAGGGAATGATTGATGACAGGGACTCTGAGAAGTGGTGTGTCTGATAAAACTTCGAAAGGCAGTATGACAGGAACTGCTAGGAACAATAATACAATTGGATAGAAATAATAAACACCCTCAAGCTGGTA